GATTGGTCAATTTCCCAGCCTTACTGACTTTACTGGCGTGCGAAAAACGCAGCACCAGTAATTTTCATTGCTACCAACTATACCGTTTTCACTGGCAGTAACTAAATCCATTTTCGAACACATCCGTAATCGTTGCTACTTTTTTGGTTAGCAACACCGTCTAGCGATGTCTGATGGTGAGTGTCTTTTAAATAACATTACGATTGCAATACTTTGTTACTATAAAAAAAAAACATTACAAGTAGCGCTCGAGCCATAGAAGATCTTATGCGTCTTTCTCTCGTTAAGATGTGCATTGTACAATAATGTGATTCATAAAAATTTGTCGCTTTGCAGAGGAAGTGATACGCCGCCGGCTGCTCATAGACGGCGATGGGACCGGGGACGACCGTAGAATTAACATGCTAATGAAGTCGTTTATAAAATGGATCAACAGCTCCGACGTGGACAACACGCTGCACGAGAGGATGCTGTCGCAGCTGGCGCAGTGCGAATTCGCGCAGAAGAAGTCCCGGCTGGTCTCCAACATGAGCCGAGAGGAGCTGAAGAGCTACGAGCAGCTGTCAAAGGGGATCGAGGTACAAATAGAGAAGGCCAAGGAGGACATAGAGAAGACCAAGGCGGACCTGCAGGACGCCAAGCGCGTGAGAAAGAACAGAATAGAGTACGACGTACTGGCCAAAGTCATTAACGAGCAGCCGGACCGGTTGGATACGCACATCAAGCTTGACACGTTGCAGCATGAGTTGGGCGCTCTAAAGGTACAAGGATACGTTGTCACGCGTCACCTTATCCCTTTGTGCGTGTGTGCGTGTGTGAGAGAGAGAGAGAGAGAGAGAGCTGCAAAGGCCTGTATCCACGATGGTGGAACTTGGTCCAAGTTCTAGTTTCTAGAAATGTGTAGCCAATTAACTTGCAGCTATTCCGTAAAAGCTGCAAGTTGATCAGTTACACATTTCCATAGTAATAAATAGGGGTGCATCTTCGGGGAGGTAGGCACTAAGACGCGCTACTTGTTAATTTTCGGCAAGAAAAAATAACGGGCCAGGGCACTAGACCAGAAATCGAACCTGGGACCTTACCGGGCGAATGTTGCTCCAACTGAGCTATCCAGGCCCAGTTCTAGCATCGTGGCCGCGGCGTTTTTAGACTGGTTATTTGTCAAAATCATGTTTTCACTCGACAGGAGAAGTCGGAACACTTGGAGCACAAGCTGGAGATGCGCCGTAAGCAGTTCCACGTTTTGATATCCTCCATTCACTCTCTGCAAGGAATGTTGGACGAGGGCAATGAGGATGTGATGGACGTGAGCCTCGAGAATGACATGGGGAGCGCGGATGTGCAAATGATGGGCGACAATTCGTGAGGTGGGTTGATCTTACGGGGATTAGGATAGCCAACGGTGAGAAGAGAAACAGCAGTCATAAGACGGCATTTTTGGCGTCGTTGTTTATTGCAATTACGAGTCCTCCGGCTTTCGGTAATAAACGTGCGTATCAAAAGATTTTTAATTTTAGTTTGCTAGTTTTTGGAACGTGTCTAATAGTTAACGACAGTCTAGTGCCGCGTTTGATTGTCCCTCCCTCCGGAAACTTTTCCGCGCACATGTGTAGGTTTTTTATCGAGCATTCCGTTATGTTGTCCGCGTCCCTCTCTGCTATGGAATGCATATAATTATGGTACAGATCCCTCCACAGGACCAACAGACTCCTGCGCTCTAGTAGCAAGCTGAATTCTAACTTCGGTTGCTGTTGCTGCGGGAATATAATGCACGCCGCATTAAAGTACATGTCGACTGATCTCTTTCGCAAGGTCGTATCTCGACTTTACACAATTTTCGGGGTTTTTTTCTGTTTAAACGCTTATTCTCGTCCTAAATGAGTGTCTAAGCAGGAAAACTGAAAATTGCGTAAATACGACCTTGCGAAAAAGATCAGTCGATTCGGTATTATCGTATTATCTTTCTTATTATGTGTTTCAGTACCTCTGTTGCCTCCAACCGTCTGTAAAAGTCGAGGAGCGTGTGGGAACCACAAGTGATGGTGGTTACAACAGGATGGAAGAGCGGGCCATCCGAGTGTGCCTGTCGAGGATATTACGGTTTAGCGGTGCGCACTGCCAACATGTACATACTTCTTTGTATTTTATCTACTCCAATATACATAAGTAGATAAACGTAATTTATGTACACTCTAAGAAAGGAAGGAAGAGCCATGACACAACGTATCGCTTTCATTACCGACGTACCATTATTCCTTGGCCCGGTAAATATTCGTTGATCAAAACGTGATTAGGCAACGCTCCTTCCTCGAAGGCGTTCAAAGCCGCCACTTTATCGATGTACCTTTGAAGCCACTGAAATGATGTCGACGTTTTACGTGCGCTCATTTGGTAATCACCGTAAATGATATGTATAAGCGACAAATATAGGTATGGTTTTTCATTTTCTGGTTAATTGTTAGCCAGAGGTTAGTCGATTCTCTATCTCTTCCTAAATAATGATATTAAAAAACTGACAAAAATATTCTTCGATGTCGCCAGCAGTAATTACCAACTTCAGTGTTTTTTTACCATATATGGCATTTTTAATAATATAAAAAGTTTATTGTGAAAAAATATATAAGAAAGGATGGAGAGTCGACTAACCTCCGGTTAACAGTTAACCAGAAAATGAAAGACTGGGCCATATGGATGTTCTCGGCTCTTTCACTTCGGAGGGCCAGTTCACCACCGTCGGTTAACTGCTAACCAGAGTTCAATGCACTCACTATCTTTTTCTATCTTCATATTTCATGCCCGGTTATTCATTTTCTGGTTAACCGTTAAGCAGAAGTTAGTCGACTCGCCACCTTTTTCTATGTTATTATCTAGGAAGGATTTTAGTTGACGTTTGATCCGACATCTCGACGAACACACTCGACAGTTTTACTCGTGTCACAAGATTAACGCGACCAAAATTGACTTTGCACTCTTCAACCAAAGAGTGCAATTATTTTTTTACCAATATAAATGCATGACTTGCTTGTACATACACAGCTTACTAACATAGCGATATCGGCCAGACGAGCGATATGTGAACAATGGAAATTGCGTGAGAAAATATAGATTTGCAGTTTGCTTTTGCTAGAATTATTTGCGCCATATTTTTTATTATATTTATTTATTAAAAAAATAGTGTCAAGTTGTGTCAAGTGTAAAACGTCGACATCATTTCAGTGGCTTATGTATGTTTGCAGAATACTCGAGAAGGGTCCAAATCCCGGACCGAAACGTAGTTTTGTAAAATAAAAACGTTGGCCAGTGTGAGTCGTTTCAATAAGCTGTCATTGGTCTTATATCGCTGGCGTCAACAAATCTTTTTGTGATTCTAGTTAACGTTTAACTAGAAAATGAAAAACCTGGCCCAAGAGGAGACAGGTAATCGACTAACTTCTGGTTGGCATTTAACTGGAAAGTGCCAAGCCAGGGCACAAGGGAATCAATTAACCCTCGGTCAGCGGTTAATCGACGTTTGTGAAACTAGCCCCGACCCAGTGAGAAATGATTCGTCGATCGACGACGAAATGATGTCGAATCGACGTCAATTCGACGGTGTCGATGTCGATTCGACGTCGATCGACGAATCATTTCTCACTGGGGAATCAATGCAGAGACGCCTCGGCCACCTACGTCGGGGATCCCTTCCGCTATCATCCCTTTGGGATGCGGTATGCCGCCCCAGTTCTGCAGCCTACGGTGGCTCAACTGCGTCCACTTTGGCTGCGGCGCGCTGTTGACGCATCTTACAATCTGCCTCTCTTCCTCCTCGGTAATGAAATTCGGCATGTAACACGCGGCGGCCGGTATCTACGATTTGCAAGCGGGCCTTTAACGAAGCATAACCTACGAGATGGGCGCACGAGTTAAACCAACGAGACAAAAAACCTCTGAAACGACAGCGTTGCGCAATGGAGAGCCCAGTTCGTCGGTCATCTTTCAGATAATCTGCTGAAATTGCAAACGCCGTAACTCCGTCGTGCTCGATCCTCCGGGGGGAGACTCGCGAAATCGATCAGTGTCGATGAACGACGATGTAAACAACCGCGACAGTCGAGAACCGCGTGCGCACGTGCGCGTGCGTGCGAGGCGGATCGGCGAAACCTGACAGCTAGCGGAAGCACGCACGCACGCCGTAAACGTCAGGACGTTTTGTTTTCTTCCGCGGGTCAACGGCGATGGCATAATTGCTGAGCCCCGTTAACGCGGACGTCGGGGATGTGTCGCGACAACGCCGGCCCGTCCTTTACGTTCGACAGGCGCGAAACTTTCAATCGCGAAACAACCACTCGCGGAACACACGTTGCTGGTTGCCGCCGCGAGTGCCGTACGCTGATCAATACTGTATTTGCATAAAATCGATTAATGAGCCCCGAACTGGCACACTCGCCGCGGCATGAGCTCGCCAGGAAAATACCTGCCGCGTCGGAGTAAAGTCAACGATTACCGAATAACGGCGGAGTAAGCGAAGCAACGATGTTGACTAAACGATGACTTCAAGTCTCGTCACTTCCCGGTCAACACCGAGCACCAGTTACGTTGCATTTATGTTACGGTTTCTCGCTTAACAACGTAAGTGCAATGTAACACATGCGTTACATTGCACTTACGTTGTTCAGCGAGAAATTGCAACGTTTAAATGCAACGTAATCGACACCCGGTGCTTGCTGGGTTTGGTATTAACCACGGTCTTACA